ATCTGCTGGCTTACCTTGAGACAAAGAACTAATCACTAGTTTTCTTTTCAGATGGTTTGAGTGAGTAACATACACACAGCTGAAATTAAAATTGTTTGCTCTTCAACAAAAAAATCTGAAATGCTATCTGAAAATGAAAGCAGCAACACTTTCTTCTTTTTACCCAAATTCACTGCAGAAACTTTCTCGTGTTTTCTTTCATGGGCTCCAAATCTGTGCAAGAGAAATTTGTTACAGTCAAGTCTTTGGCTTTTCTTTGCTATGGATAAAAAGGACTTTCTTACCTGTAACCTTTTGGTAGCTTGGCCTAAAGACCTTTCTACAGCTTTAATGCCATTTTCCAATCTCAGACTGTGCTGGCCCTGAATATCAATTTCACCCTTCACCTTCTCGATCTTTTCCTTGACCTCTTCTTCGTTCACTTGGGACTCTTGAACTTCCCGCTGCAACTTCTCTGCTTCAAGGCCACTTTCCATGTTGTGGATCTGAGACATGTAGTCCTTCAGCTTGCTCTCGCACTCCAGGATCCTCTGCCTCATCTCCTGCAGCTGCTCCTTCAGCTGTTTTTCATTCTCCTGTTCGATCTGCAGCTCGTTTTCCCAGAACTCCTCTTCTTCAATCTCCACTTCGTTCCTTTTGATCTTCTGCTCTAGCTTGAGGATTTCTTCTTCCAGGCTGGAGTTATACTTTTGTTCCCAGTAGCGGATCTCGGCTTCGTTCGACTCCAGCTGTTTCTCGATGCACTGAAGCTTCTCCGTCTGGAGGTGGATCAATTTCTTCAACTCATCCGCCGTCGTTTTACAGTTGTTGAGCACCTTTTGCTTGAACTCGGACTCCTTGCTTTTCCCAAAGATGTCCATCAACCCTTTGGCCCCTCCGGTGAAGGTGAGGGATTTCCTTTTCGGCTCCCTCCTCTTCATGGATTTGTCGCTGGGAGCCCGCAGCTTGGCGAGGGGCGGTAAGCTTTGCCGGTACAGAGTCCTCTCCGGGATGCGAGCCACGCTGTCGGAGGTCGGCCTCTCGCTCAGCGAGGGCCCGGTGCGGCGCAGGATCAGCTGCACGTCGCTGGCGTACTGGCCCCACTTGTTCAGCGACACGATGGGGT